AACTGTGGGGGCCCCCACAGATCTGATAGCACTAGATGTCTGACTCGTCCAACAAGAACTGGTGGACTATCAAAACAGCAATTGAAAACCTACCGAGATGCAGGAGAGCGAAAATACCAAGCTCCTGTCAGAGCAAGAGATGCAGAGGCTAAGGCTGCTTCCGCTGAGGCATCGATCCATAACTCTACAACTGGTCGAGTCCCAACCCCAGACGCTAGAGTGGCAGCAGCATTACCTCCAGAGAATCCGACAGGTAATGCAAGGCGATTGTGAAGGGCGACCAACAGAGTCGCCATCCTCCCAACAGATTCTTCGATTTATGTCAATTAATGTTGGAAGAGGGGGAACAACACACGGTATCGCGCTAGAACGTGCCTGCGAGCTTCAACTTGATGTCTTGCTTATACAGGAGCCATGGTGGCGTGGGCATAATAAGGAACATCCCTATTTCAACGTCCACATACCGCACAATGGTATAAGCATTCGTCCTCGAGCAATCATACACACTAGGAAAAATGCCAAGCAAATTCAAGTCATTCAAAAATTTCCCTCGGCCACTCCAATTAGCGACTATTGCTGGGTTGAGGTAAACAACACAATATTTCTCAATGTATACAAAGCCCCCCACGATCCAAAAGCGGTTTAACTCCTTCTCGAATGGGTTCCATCTACTCACACCGTTGCTGCAGGCGACTTCAACTCGGTTCATTGGGCCTGGCAACCAAGCGCAGTACATATATATGGACAAGGCGATGAGATTGAGAAGTGGGCAGAGACTCACAATCTCCTGCCTTATTATTTGCGAGCCAACGCATCGAGCCGGGAATACCCTTGACCTAGCATGGGCAAACATTAATGGAACCTGTGCTTGCGTTGATCGACAAGAATGTATCACCAGCGACCACTTTCAAATCTTGGGCTCAGTCCTCAACCAAAAGCAAACTAAAGCCACGGAAAGAGGCCCACTTCGAGTTACCAAAGGCTAGTCTCCTGCTGGGCACCACCATTAGCACCGCTTACTTCGGTAGAAGAAACAGAGGGATTTGCCGAGGAACTTTGCAGGGCATTTAAGGAAGCAATAAAGGCTATTGGTAGACGACCGAACCCAGAGAGTGGCAGGTCAGGACCCTGGTGGACTCCAGAATTCAAGGCCGCTCATGTCAAATATAAGGGCTCACTCACAGAACTTGAACGATCTAATAATGCCGAGCACTTTAGAAAAGTTGTAGCAACTGCGAAAAGGAGCTATTGGAAAAGTTGGGTGGAAGGAGTTAAATCTTTACCCGAAACCTTTAAGCTTCTACAATGGGGTTTCTCGAAGCACGCAAAAATTCCGCCACCTCTTTTACATGAAGGTCGATTCATCTCTGATCAGGCTGAGCGCGCAGATATCCTGCGCTATCGCCTTCTTTCACGGCACCAAGTCACCGATGATCTAACCCCTTGTAATCATCCTGGAGATTCATGGATCACATGGGAGGAAGAAATATCCGAGACTGAAGTTCAAAGCTGTACAATAGGCAAAGGTGGCTCTTGCCCTGGAGCTGATGAAATCTCCACAGAACTCCTTGCAGCCTCCTGGAGCCATGTCGGAGCCCATGTCACGCATCTTTCCCGCGCGTGCATGCATTTTGGACATCATCCTACCTGCTTCAAGCTAGCAGAAGGTGTTTTCCTTCCAAAATCAGGCAGGGACCCTTCATCCGTGAAAGGATTGAGGCCTATCGCACTCCTGTCGTGTTTAGGAAAGGGGTTGGAAAGAATCATGCCCTAGAGAATGTCACATTGTGCGGTGGTCTCAAATGTTGTAGGCCCACAACAATTTGAGGCTCTACCTAAACGTTCGGCAACAGATCTCGTCTCATGTGTAGTGCATGATATAGAAGAGGCCCGGACACAGGGCTGGGCGGCAACCTTTGTCACGTTAGATGTGCAGGGGGCCTTTGATGCTGTCCTACATAATCGGCTCACATGGCGGATGCAAGCTCAAGGCTGGCCCTAATCAGTTCTTCGGTGGACTACATCTTTCCTCAAAAATCGAAGCGTGCAAGTACGTTACGCGGGAGGGATTACAAGCCCTAGGAAACTGAAATGCGGTGTGCCGCAGGGCTCCCCAATTTTGCCTATCCTATTTCTACTCTACATGGCAGAGCCTATGCACGGTGGAAACCCTAGAGCACGTTTTAGCTACGCCGATGATATTGGAATTTTAGGAATCGGCCGAACTGTTGCGGAATCAGCTGCTTTGGCACAGCAGGAGGTGAACAAATTAGTAGATTGGGCGGAGGAAAATGCCATATCCTTTGAAACTGAGAAATCGGAAGTCATTCAGTTCCCGGGAAGCCGCCTTTGGAATTCAGTGGGAATTCATATAAACGACACGTTCATAGAGCCAGCTGAGTACATTCGATGGTTAGGAGTCTATCTCGACAAGAAACTATCATTTAAAAATCATTTTGAAATATGGAGTGGGAAAGCACTTAAGGTGGCTCAATATATGCGACGAATACACTCAGTCAAGCAGGGGGTAGCCCCTGGACTATTAATGACTGCGGTGGAAGCGTGCGTGATTCCAGTAGCGACATATGGCGCAGAAGTGTGGTGGCCCGGTTTGTCACGACCCCAAAGACGGGGTCTCGTGACTCCCAAGACGACGCATCTATGCAAGCTGATTGACAGGGCTTTAATTCTAGCTTCAAGAGCAGCGCTTCCGGTGTGGAAGACTATACCCATCGCTGTGCTTCACAGGGAAGGAGGCATTCCACCAGCGCGGATCCTCTTAGAATGCAACCGCCTAAGACTTTCTGCAAGCTTGCAGTCCCTCGATGATCGTCATCCCTTTCGTATTCGTGCAAGGATGTGCCCGAATGAGGGAACAATTAAATACAAGAGGCGGAAAAAGCTAACATCGCGATCCGATACCTAGATGTCCCGCGTCCAACGGGCTTACTGCCAACTACCTCAAGCGGAAGATGCTGAACCACTTCCTGGGCCAGCATATTGGAGAAATCCTGGATCAAAGTTGGAAGGAGTGGAGGATTATTAAAAATGGATCAGGACGGTCCCTCCATCTGAAATTTGTGCTTATTTAGACGGGTCATCAGAAGGTCACGGTCGATCAGCATGGGGCTATGTGCTTCAAAGAGGAGGAATTACCTTCAAGAAGGAACGGGGGTCGCTGCACGGATGCGAAACTATCGACGCCGAGATTGTCGGGGCAATAGGCGCGCTGCGAGCCGCTATCATTGCGAGACAAGGGGAGGAAAAGATAACCGTGCTACTCGACAACCAAGCAGCTGTAAGAGCATTGCAGACTGGAAATTCGTCCTCAACCTGCCGCTTAATTCGCATCTTTCATGATGCTGTGCAAAGATCCAACGCAGAAATCAGATGGGTCCCAGGACACTCAAACATAGAGGGGAACGTGGAAGCAGACAAAGAAGCTCGGGCCTGTGACGGAAACCGAGTTGGTAATGAATAAATCGATTTATTAAACTATATAAAGAGAAAAGAAATCTCTAGCTACTACTAACAGGTACTTATAACGTTTGGTCCGCTTCGTGAATCTGCTGACTGATAACTTCTCCCTTGGCCTAATACTTGCTACCGAGCCAAGTATTATCAGGAGCCAGTACGCTATGATGTTGCTTCGACCTCCTGACCAGTAGTGCCATTTCATCTCTATTTGCCCATCCTTCCTCTTTCAGTCTTATCGTAATTATTCCTAATTAAACGCTTAGGTTTCCTCCTAAGCTAAAACAACGGTCAAACCGTAACAGGGCCGCACTAAAATTACTTCCGGGCTGCCAGAAACAACCCAGCTATATCAGTCTTGCTTTCCTTCGACGTCTTATGCAAAAGCGACGACAAAAATTGATAGACAATTGGTGGTCAACTGCTTGTCCAGCTCGATACCAAGACTTGGACCTGCAAACGCGACGACGTGAACCCCCAGAACTTTCGTAGCCACGGAGATTACTACACGAACTCATTGCTTCGAGAACAGGGCATGGGGATTTTGCGGCGTATCACCGACGCTTCAAGCACGAAAATGCAAATCTAGTTTGTAGCTGTGGGCTAGAAAAGACGCCCACCCACTTCACACGCTGTCGGAGATACATTATTCCGACGCGTAAACTTAGAAAAGACTTGAGCTTAGATGCTTTTACCAGGGAACTCCTTGGACATAAAGAGTTAGAGAAGTTTAAAAATTTTGCATGGGTTACAGGCTGCTTCGGTAGGCTGGACGCATCCTAGTGTTGGGCTGGATACAAGGACGGGTTTTAGGATGAATGCCAGGGCAAATAGACTGGCGGAGGAGAGTTCAGGATGAGGATTGCTGACTCAAAACCATTGATTATTTTTTTTGATTATTTCTTTTCTTTTTCTTCACTACATTATTTATTTAACGAGCGCATGATTTATTAGCTCTAAAATGGGTGTGAACGAGTAGGGCAAGCCTGAGTGTTAAATCTCGGCCGGCTCCACCGGTCCTACATCTAAATAGATTTAAGGTTATGGCCAAGGACCTAATTTTTATTTATCTTTATTTAACGTCTGGCGGATCACGCGTCAAGCGAGTAACCCTATTAAGTCCCTACTGAGACAAAAGACGCCATGCCAAGGACCTAAAACTAACATAAACAAGTAAATTAGAGAGATATTCGGGTGAATGTCACGTGAATCGTCAAAAGATAAAAGCGAATACAAGAATGAATTGAGTAATCTCCGTGCTACGAGTCTATCGTAGCACTGTAATATCTAATTATACCCTAATAACGCCCCTGATCATCATTATTAGTCTGACATGGCTGCACGTAGATCGTGCTTTCGCTTTTGGATTGGATCCAGACTTATGTAAGCATAAGTCTGCTTACAAAACCCCATCCAAAGTATGAGTTATATAAAATCCGATCGAAAAGATATTTTCCTTGATACACATCATGTATCAGCATCAACTTATCCGACCCGAGTCATGTTATGAGCAGTTTCGGGTAAACCTAGAATGACCGTATCACATCACATGATCTTAATTCTTTGTTACTATCATAATAGGCAACATCGTTTAAGTATCCAGAATCCGACAAAATAATGCGATATCGGCCTTTTGTACCTGCTTATATCAATTAGAAAGAGTCTGTAAGGCAGAATAGTGTGAGTTGACGCTTAGATGCGCCATCTCTTCTTACCTGGGGCAAATTTTCTAGTACTTGATCTTAGAGGCCAATTGAATGAAGTTCTATATTTTTTGGTCTGGGGGTCAAAAAATGACTTTTCAATCCTTAAGTCCGTATTTATATTGATTTTCTTTGCCCCTGACTTGTAATCATTGATTGCCTTCAAGGCTACCTTTGCTGTGGCCACCACATTTGAATGTTTAAATTTCTTGCCATTACAATTGTGTAGTATGGTAGGCCCCGCGGCTGGCGGCCTGATCGCAGCGATCGGGAGAATTTCGAGAAAAAATATGACGGTTGATATGACGTTATAATCGATTAGCATGCTTGCCAATGAGTAGGATATTTTGTGATGTGTGATATTTTCTGGAAAGAAATAGATCAAGAAAAGAAAGGCGTTATAAGTGATGGTGGAGCTTCATGATCGGTCGTCAGCCGATCATATAGAGTTTTAAATCCATTAATACGGGGACTCCTGTTGGTTCAAACCATTGCGACTCATTCGATCTCATGTTGATGACAAAAATTGTTTCTTTATCTATGTCTCATGATGGTGTGAGATCGGGACGACATACGAATATTTTCATCTTTCCTCTAATTTCCCACGGCTGATTTGCGTGTTTACGATCAACGAGGTTAAGCACGCGCGAAATTTAGCTATGCATATATGGATGGCTGATGCAAATGACAAATGTGTTTGTTGTGGAGTCATCTCAACGACCCACGGACCGCGTTAACGTCAGTTACCCCCATAGAAGACGGTTTCACGCCAGTTATTACGTTCAAGTAGACCAGTGGGACTGGCCCACAAACTTGATTGGTTGAATGAATATTTATTCGTAGCGGGCACAATCCTAGGACTCATGGAGCATGTCACGGAGAAGACTACCTACTCTAACAAATATATACAACGATGACTCATTTGGACATTTGGACTACTCATGTAGTGTGTACATTCGCAAATTCCACTCGAGACCTTTGTGCTAAGGGCTTTCAACCTTCTCCCGACCATTAATATCCACGAATGGGAAAACAGGAAAATTTTTATAGTCTTGAGATGTGCTGAAGTCACACTGCGAAGTGATAAGGAGTTTTTTTGCATCAGATTTTAATTGCGTACGCAGCTATCTAGCTATGACTCAATATAAAGGAAAAGCACTTTTGTCTCGGATTTGATTTGCAAGTACCACTGCGAAGTTATAGCGGCTTTTTCTTCACCCCAAGTCAATCCTCATCCGTGGATACCCACCCAGGGGAACGTCTCAAAACCCCTGAGTTATCCCGACATGCCTCCATCATCCATTATCTTTCCTCTGCGCGAAATGTCATCTTGGGCGTCTCCTTCCCAAGTGAAGCAGGTGCCCAGGCTACTCAAACCATACCAGAGAACACCAGTTACAAGGAGTTGATGATGTAATACTTAGTGGGCGACAGTTTACAGACTCATACAATACTACCCTGTGGCCACAATTTGAAGTTTTAAAAACAAGCAAACAATGGAAGGTGTTATGTTCCGCCGCCTAGTGGTGTTCTCCGGCATAGTCTGAGTAGCCTGGGCACCTGCTTCACTTGGGAAGGAGACGCCCAAGATGACATTTCGCGCAGAGGAAAGATAATGGATGATGGAGGCATGTCGGGATAACTCAGGGGTTTTGAGACGTTCCCCTGGGTGGGTATCCACGGATGAGGATTGACTTGGGGTGAAGAAAAAGCCGCTATAACTTCGCAGTGGTACTTGCAAATCAAATCCGAGACAAAAGTGCTTTTCCTTTATATTGAGTCATAGCTAGATAGCTGCGTACGCAATTAAAATCTGATGCAAAAAAACTCCTTATCACTTCGCAGTGTGACTTCAGCACATCTCAAGACTATAAAAATTTTCCTGTTTTCCCATTCGTGGATATTAATGGTCGGGAGAAGGTTGAAAGCCCTTAGCACAAAGGTCTCGAGTGGAATTTGCGAATGTACACACTACATGAGTAGTCCAAATGTCCAAATGAGTCATCGTTGTATATATTTGTTAGAGTAGGTAGTCTTCTCCGTGACATGCTCCATGAGTCCTAGGATTGTGCCCGCTACGAATAAATATTCATTCAACCAATCAAGTTTGTGGGCCAGTCCCACTGGTCTACTTGAACGTAATAACTGGCGTGAAACCGTCTTCTATGGGGGTAACTGACGTTAACGCGGTCCGTGGGTCGTTGAGATGACTCCACAACAAACACATTTGTCATTTGCATCAGCCATCCATATATGCATAGCTAAATTTCGCGCGTGCTTAACCTCGTTGATCGTAAACACGCAAATCAGCCGTGGGAAATTAGAGGAAAGATGAAAATATTCGTATGTCGTCCCGATCTCACACCATCATGAGACATAGATAAAGAAACAATTTTTGTCATCAACATGAGATCGAATGAGTCGCAATGGTTTGAACCAACAGGAGTCCCCGTATTAATGGATTTAAAACTCTATATGATCGGCTGACGACCGATCATGAAGCTCCACCATCACTTATAACGCCTTTCTTTTCTTGATCTATTTCTTTCCAGAAAATATCACACATCACAAAATATCCTACTCATTGGCAAGCATGCTAATCGATTATAACGTCATATCAACCGTCATATTTTTTCTCGAAATTCTCCCGATCGCTGCGATCAGGCCGCCAGCCGCGGGGCCTACCATACTACACAATTGTAATGGCAAGAAATTTAAACATTCAAATGTGGTGGCCACAGCAAAGGTAGCCTTGAAGGCAATCAATGATTACAAGTCAGGGGCAAAGAAAATCAATATAAATACGGACTTAAGGATTGAAAAGTCATTTTTTGACCCCCAGACCAAAAAATATAGAACTTCATTCAATTGGCCTCTAAGATCAAGTACTAGAAAATTTGCCCCAGGTAAGAAGAGATGGCGCATCTAAGCGTCAACTCACACTATTCTGCCTTACAGACTCTTTCTAATTGATATAAGCAGGTACAAAAGGCCGATATCGCATTATTTTGTCGGATTCTGGATACTTAAACGATGTTGCCTATTATGATAGTAACAAAGAATTAAGATCATGTGATGTGATACGGTCATTCTAGGTTTACCCGAAACTGCTCATAACATGACTCGGGTCGGATAAGTTGATGCTGATACATGATGTGTATCAAGGAAAATATCTTTTCGATCGGATTTTATATAACTCATACTTTGGATGGGGTTTTGTAAGCAGACTTATGCTTACATAAGTCTGGATCCAATCCAAAAGCGAAAGCACGATCTACGTGCAGCCATGTCAGACTAATAATGATGATCAGGGGCGTTATTAGGGTATAATTAGATATTACAGTGCTACGATAGACTCGTAGCACGGAGATTACTCAATTCATTCTTGTATTCGCTTTTATCTTTTGACGATTCACGTGACATTCACCCGAATATCTCTCTAATTTACTTGTTTATGTTAGTTTTAGGTCCTTGGCATGGCGTCTTTTGTCTCAGTAGGGACTTAATAGGGTTACTCGCTTGACGCGTGATCCGCCAGACGTTAAATAAAGATAAATAAAAATTAGGTCCTTGGCCATAACCTTAAATCTATTTAGATGTAGGACCGGTGGAGCCGGCCGAGATTTAACACTCAGGCTTGCCCTACTCGTTCACACCCATTTTAGAGCTAATAAATCATGCGCTCGTTAAATAAATAATGTAGTGAAGAAAAAGAAAAGAAATAATCAAAAAAAATAATCAATGGTTTTGAGTCAGCAATCCTCATCCTGAACTCTCCTCCGCCAGTCTATTTGCCCTGGCATTCATCCTAAAACCCGTCCTTGTATCCAGCCCAACACTAGGATGCGTCCAGCCTACCGAAGCAGCCTGTAACCCATGCAAAATTTTTAAACTTCTCTAACTCTTTATGTCCAAGGAGTTCCCTGGTAAAAGCATCTAAGCTCAAGTCTTTTCTAAGTTTACGCGTCGGAATAATGTATCTCCGACAGCGTGTGAAGTGGGTGGGCGTCTTTTCTAGCCCACAGCTACAAACTAGATTTGCATTTTCGTGCTTGAAGCGTCGGTGATACGCCGCAAAATCCCCATGCCCTGTTCTCGAAGCAATGAGTTCGTGTAGTAATCTCCGTGGCTACGAAAGTTCTGGGGGTTCACGTCGTCGCGTTTGCAGGTCCAAGTCTTGGTATCGAGCTGGACAAGCAGTTGACCACCAATTGTCTATCAATTTTTGTCGTCGCTTTTGCATAAGACGTCGAAGGAAAGCAAGACTGATATAGCTGGGTTGTTTCTGGCAGCCCGGAAGTAATTTTAGTGCGGCCCTGTTACGGTTTGACCGTTGTTTTAGCTTAGGAGGAAACCTAAGCGTTTAATTAGGAATAATTACGATAAGACTGAAAGAGGAAGGATGGGCAAATAGAGATGAAATGGCACTACTGGTCAGGAGGTCGAAGCAACATCATAGCGTACTGGCTCCTGATAATACTTGGCTCGGTAGCAAGTATTAGGCCAAGGGAGAAGTTATCAGTCAGCAGATTCACGAAGCGGACCAAACGTTATAAGTACCTGTTAGTAGTAGCTAGAGATTTCTTTTCTCTTTATATAGTTTAATAAATCGATTTATTCATTACCAACTCGGTTTCCGTCACAGGCCCGAGCTTCTTTGTCTGCTTCCACGTTCCCCTCTATGTTTGAGTGTCCTGGGACCCATCTGATTTCTGCGTTGGATCTTTGCACAGCATCATGAAAGATGCGAATTAAGCGGCAGGTTGAGGACGAATTTCCAGTCTGCAATGCTCTTACAGCTGCTTGGTTGTCGAGTAGCACGGTTATCTTTTCCTCCCCTTGTCTCGCAATGATAGCGGCTCGCAGCGCGCCTATTGCCCCGACAATCTCGGCGTCGATAGTTTCGCATCCGTGCAGCGACCCCCGTTCCTTCTTGAAGGTAATTCCTCCTCTTTGAAGCACATAGCCCCATGCTGATCGACCGTGACCTTCTGATGACCCGTCTAAATAAGCACAAATTTCAGATGGAGGGACCGTCCTGATCCATTTTTAATAATCCTCCACTCCTTCCAACTTTGATCCAGGATTTCTCCAATATGCTGGCCCAGGAAGTGGTTCAGCATCTTCCGCTTGAGGTAGTTGGCAGTAAGCCCGTTGGACGCGGGACATCTAGGTATCGGATCGCGATGTTAGCTTTTTCCGCCTCTTGTATTTAATTGTTCCCTCATTCGGGCACATCCTTGCACGAATACGAAAGGGATGACGATCATCGAGGGACTGCAAGCTTGCAGAAAGTCTTAGGCGGTTGCATTCTAAGAGGATCCGCGCTGGTGGAATGCCTCCTTCCCTGTGAAGCACAGCGATGGGTATAGTCTTCCACACCGGAAGCGCTGCTCTTGAAGCTAGAATTAAAGCCCTGTCAATCAGCTTGCATAGATGCGTCGTCTTGGGAGTCACGAGACCCCGTCTTTGGGGTCGTGACAAACCGGGCCACCACACTTCTGCGCCATATGTCGCTACTGGAATCACGCACGCTTCCACCGCAGTCATTAATAGTCCAGGGGCTACCCCCTGCTTGACTGAGTGTATTCGTCGCATATATTGAGCCACCTTAAGTGCTTTCCCACTCCATATTTCAAAATGATTTTTAAATGATAGTTTCTTGTCGAGATAGACTCCTAACCATCGAATGTACTCAGCTGGCTCTATGAACGTGTCGTTTATATGAATTCCCACTGAATTCCAAAGGCGGCTTCCCGGGAACTGAATGACTTCCGATTTCTCAGTTTCAAAGGATATGGCATTTTCCTCCGCCCAATCTACTAATTTGTTCACCTCCTGCTGTGCCAAAGCAGCTGATTCCGCAACAGTTCGGCCGATTCCTAAAATTCCAATATCATCGGCGTAGCTAAAACGTGCTCTAGGGTTTCCACCGTGCATAGGCTCTGCCATGTAGAGTAGAAATAGGATAGGCAAAATTGGGGAGCCCTGCGGCACACCGCATTTCAGTTT